CAAATTTAATCATACGAGTACATATGTATTTATGCAGCGGAGAATGGGGAATGCGAATCCCAATGCGAAGCCACTCCCCAGAAATAACAACAATTGGATCCTGCAGAGATAACATTTAAGCGAAATCGCTTTAAAATCAATTAACCGTAAAATCACTCGCCCATTTGCAACAACAATCGAAACGCGAGACAGGCCAGGGCCAGGGCCAGGGCCGTGTTAGGTCCAGGGGCAATGGACATCGACGGCAGCCAAACAATCAAATGTGGTGGCAGTAAAATTAGCCCTATCTCCCTCTGTTGCTGCCCCAAGCCTTGCGCTCCCAATGGATGAGCGCTGGAATGGTGAACCCTTCACTGATGCTGCACTTGACCGGCCCCCTCGCTGGGGCTGTGGCTGTGGCTGGACGTGCTGCCAGGTATTAACCTCCATTTAATGTTGAACAAAGCCGCGTTACACATGTGCGATGAACGAGAAGCCCCAACCAACACCAGATGGGAGGGGGGGGAGGATTGGTGGATTGGGTTGCACAAGGGTTGGGTGTGGCACGGTGCATGGGCGAACAAAAAATGAGTGGAAAAAAAGTCCGAGCCAGCAGCAAATTGAATTGCTGGCAAACAAGGAGCTCCGTTTCGCTCCTGCAGGAAGTAAGCGTGGCGAAAAAAAAATGTATCTGCATACACTGGGAGAAAGAAATGACGAACTGAATAGAGTTTTCATGCAATCTTTAACTATGGGTATTGAAAAATGCACAATATAATTCGAAAAGAGAGATTTGATCATCTTTGAAAGGGATATTCCTGATCAAAAGGGGGCCCCCCCGAAAACCTGAATTAAAAGAGGTCCTGGAAAAGGTTTTACTATTTCAGATTGAGTATTTTAGGTTTGACAGTTATGTTTCTGAAAACAATAGCTTCTGGAAGATTTGGGTAGTGCAAGCTATCTGCTTCGAAAATTAAGGGATTCATTTACATAACAAAATACTGATGGAAGTACAGGCAAGGGGCTATATCCATAAAACTCTTGACGCTAGACGAGTACACCATTTGCCACAGAATTGTCGTCAGTACAAGATAATTCACACCTCACTTGGATGATTTCCCTCAGTGTCAATAGGTACATTTATGTGTATACATACAGTACAAGTATATGGGAGTATGCATGACAAGGCTGACCCTCGAAGGGAACATGAGAATCATCATCAGCGCCATCGCCATCGTCATCAGAATCGTTTTAAACAAAACGGACTAATTAAGCGCACGTTGCCCGCGTGGGTCCTTGAGTGGCTAACCAGGGATGTCCATGAGGAGTACGGGGGGGAGGCATACGATAGGGGGTAGGTGGTAAGTGTAAGGGTGCCAGGTGTTTGGGTGTGAACTGGCTTATTAGCGGGGAGCAGGCAGCCTTGGACGCGCTATGGAAAGTTTCTGCCATTGCCTTGGATATTTTCAATTGCTAGATACTTTTCTCTCACACAATCCCCACTCACACTCTGGGATTTCTTCGTAATGGAAATGGCTTCGGAGCCACAGGAGAGAGAAGGAAAAAATCGCTTTTTGAGTAGTCAACTCCACGGTCAGGCCTGGGAGCTGGGTTCCGCTTAAGACGCTTTGATCTATGTGTGTCAGAGTCCTCTTTTTCCAGAACATAGCCCCCACCCCACATCCCATATCCTCGTCGATCCGCTTCCCTTAGCACATGTATCCTTGGTGTATCGTCGCGCTAAATCCGTCTTTGAATAATGATGCCGTTGATAGCTGGGATTATGCCCAGGCCCAGGCCCAGGCAGACGGAGGACCACGTCCACGACAGGCACATATGTACGCGTATGTATTGCAGTCCCTGACGGGTTGCATGTGTTTGTGTATGTGTGTGTGGGTGGGTGGGTGTCCATTTATTTATTATGCCACAATATTCAATGACCCTTAATGGCATTTCGTAATAAAAATATTGGATTAGTTTGTTAGTTTTTGTGCGAGAGACAACCATCAACCACCATCGAACCAGCACTGCCCATGGAGCCACAACCCCACAGCCCACTGGCCACTCGTCACTTTATCAACCGTGGCCTAGGGACATTACATATTCCATTAAACGACTAATGAGACCATTGTGCCAGGCGATGGCGGCGGGCTGTGGTCGGAGAGCGATGGTTCATGCTGCCTTTCAGGTTCAGGTGCCGGAGATCAAAGGAAGGACTACGTACAGAGAGTAATGATTCAAGGAAGCTATCAGAAATTGAGACTGTAGGAACCTCTGGGATGGATTTTAATAGACGAAATGAAAGAAAGCTTAGATTCTTCATTGTAACATCCAATACGACATAAATACAGCCAAATCGAAGGAAATATGATACAGAAAGTATTCTGAAGTTTGGCTTTAAATGATTACCGAAAATCGCACTTCAAGCTAAAAGCAAATATAAGAAAGGTACCCCAAAAAGTCCTTCTGCACAGGCATTGGCCCTTTAATGATGCGCCCTTTCCTACTCAGGCCAAGCAGGGGGATCCTTCAGGACTTACAGGATCCGCCCCGTCCCGCATCGAAAATTTCTAGCCATAGTTTTAATTTCAAAATTCCCAATGAGATGGGACTGAGACCCAAGGCACCCAGGCCTGTGCCCAGAGGCTGATGATGTTGTCCTGTTTGCCGTATTCATGTGGCTTATTAAAATATTAAAAACATTCGACCCGAAAGTTCTTCTTCAGCTGCTCCGGCACGTACAAACATACTCCTAGAGAAAGAGAGATAGAGATGGAGATGAAACTGGAGCTGAAGCAGTAGCTGGGGCTGTGGCTGTGGCTGGAGTCCAGTCAATGCTTTGGGTTCGGGCTAGGGGTTCGGGGTCCGGCATGCATGTGACATAATAAATATTAATGACAACTGACCGACATAGATCCCCGCGCCCAGTGGGTGGGCACAGGCCCAAAACAGAGTAACACATGATGATGATGATGATTAAAGGAGGTGGCTCGGGAGGTGGTGCTACTCTCATGCTACTCTCCGTGAGGACGTTGACGTTGACACACATTCGACATGTGACAGATAAATTATGGCAATTGGACGAATGTCGCCACACCTACAAGGGACTGACTGTCCTCCGTGCGCTTCAGCGTTTCGGGGCACTAGATCATTTTTCATTTTTTTGTTCCATCACTCGGTTCGCCCTCTAAACATTTGCTTGTGGGGTTGTGACATATGTGGGGTGTTGTTGCCCAGTCCCTCGAGGCACTAATAGTTTTCTGTTCGAAATTGGGATGCGCGACGTTCAGACCGCTGGAGAGAAGCTATCGATAAATGCCAAGTGTAATCGACGCATTCAAAATTGACCTACCACCCACCCGACCGTTCGGATGTCAGTGCAATTGATGACAGGCCACGGAAACCACCCACTGGGCGGGGGGGAAGACCATTATCATTACCCTGCGTGTTGACTTTCATTAGGCGCAATGGCCCAGGGTCATTGTCAGGGCAATTTTTCAACCTCCACGAGACTGATGTCTCCCCATCAATATGGAAGTCAGTCCGGGACGGAGTGCATATGGAATTCCTCCTCAGGTGGTCTTCGGGATACAAGTACCATCATCTGCTGCCGGTCACCTTATGACTTACATTTCTCTCTCTTACAGACTTCTTTCGAAGAGGGGACAAACCAAATATATAAAAATAAAAGTTGATATACAAAAATAATAAAAGAAAAGAAAGTCTCGTTTGGGGAGCCGAAGCTTTGGATACCCTTGTGGATAGATCGACGGTTCCTAGCTTGGCCGTGAACTACAAAAACACAGGATACTACAGATAGATTCTGAGTTTGGTTAATATATGAAAAAGCCAAGGATTATAGTGATTCAAACTGGCAAAGTCAGAAACTCAGAATGAATGCAGAGACTTTATTGGGAGTATACTCGTATGAGCTAAGGGGTCGGAGAAGCCTCCCTTTTGTGCACGCTCGCAGAGGCAGAGGGTATCCAAAGGCAATTCAAAAGCGCGGCAGATTTATTTACAGGCAACGGGCTTAAAGCCAATTTCAACAGAATGAAAGAAACCAACAAACAAACAAACGAGCCCCACCCCCGCGCCCAGCCTTGGCAGAGGGGGGTAGGGGATGGCACAAGTAATACGCGTGTATAAAAGAATCAAAAATCTAGATTTTGATTTCAGATACTCGACCCTAAAACTTAAGAGAGAGACAGAGAGAGTGAGAGTGAAGAAGGACAGGGGTGCCGGTGCTTGGCCTGCTCCTGGGGGATGGTTGTGGGTTGGGCGTTGGTTGCCGTGGCTGTGGTTGGGGCTCGCGGAGGGTGGGTGGATCCAGGGTCAACGAGGGGGTTGGCTGTGGTGGGGCAGAAGTCAAGTGGCGCTTAGTTGCGCTGGCGAGCGACTAAAAGTCGCGGGCGTCTGCGGCGGGCAGGAGAGTGGAGGGCTTCCTATGAATTCCACTTCAATGAATTGAAAAATTGCCTCGAACAAATTTGATGCGCCGCCAGCTGCTTTGCATTCGCTGGGAGATGGAGATTCCACGGAGATACTCGTACAGTTCGTGGAGGCGGAGGGAGATGGGATGGGATGGCATGCCATGGCATGGCCCTTTCCGAACATGACATTTGACATTTGATAATGTCATTTACCGCGTAATTGTTTTTTGATTTGATGCCTCCCTCTCTATCTTCATCTTTGACTGACTTTCAATTTTTTTTTTTTTTTTTTTGGTTTTTCTTTACATCTTCTTATTTTTTTATCGTTCCTTTGGCAGTGGGAGAACAAGAACTCAGAGATACAAATTGATTTGAACAGGGAACAAGAACGAAGATGTAGACAAACTTTGGAGACAAAGAGCCCCTTACAGAACCATATTTAAAGGAGCCATATAGCAATCTTGCAAGGCATGGAACACCGTTTTAATAAGTTCATAATTTGAAGATGCTTAATTTAATCATCTGATTAATAAATATAATTTAATTGAATTAGTGACCACACAGGGACACGCACAAATGTATGTAAATTTTAAATAAAACGCATGATATTGGAGTCGTTGCCCTCTGAAATACAACACTGTGATCTCACTCCAGGAATGCTTAGCGGGATCCTGGAAAGAAATGTGAAAGGCTTCGATTAGAGATCCATTTTATAGAAGCAGTAGTAAATGGTAGTTTAAATATATTCGATCCAAGCCCTACATGACTTCTATGGCTGTTAATGCCACATCTGAACGCTGGATTCCTTAGCTTCATAGCTCTCCTCATACACTGGTCGAGCATCCGCATGGTTTTTCATCATATTCGGTACATCGATTGCACAGACTCAGACACCGAAAAAGACAACTCAGTGCAAAGTGTTTCGAATTCGTTTGCATCGCATTCATAGCATTCAATGCTTTCACGTCCCAGCTCACTTTTGTCGATCTTCGCGAACATCACAGCAACTAAAAGGTTCTCCGCAAAGTAGCGTTCACGAGTGGACAGATCCGAATTGCGGATGTACCGGGCTTGGTACAATATTTACTATTACAATTACAATATTTATTTCTCTCTTTCCAGAGCTCTTTCATGCGGCGGCAGTAGTTGGTGACAAAATGTGGCATCAGGGTCCACGGCACCTTAGTCTCGGCTTGTGTGGCCCGCTCGTGACCGGATTTAAGCACTCCTCCAAGATCGCTTTCATATGGCCTTCGTGGACTCTAGACCCTTCTTGCAATTCAAAGCCGTTGATCGTGCACCCGATCGGACGCTTACGCTGCTCCCCCCACGCTCACGCTTGGAAAGTCCGCCATTATTCGCCCAATGGAAGGATCTGAGTAAAAGCTCATCGCAGCGTCGATGCCTCCAATGGACCCTTCAGGTCGGGACGACCGCAATTGTGTAATGTAAAAGCTTCGCGGGACTAAACGCGAAACCAAGGGACCCTGGTAAGTCGGAAAGCAAGCTAGTATTCTTTATCGCACTCTGACCATATGTTGGCCCAAACTTAATATCCATAACAGCGCCCAAATAGTCTGCATAGTGCTATAGTGGTCGTGGCGGTGGAGGGGGTCGGAGGAGTGTCTGTAGAGGACATGATTTTTTGTTTTCACTGTGTGGGTGACCCCTCTTCCCATCACAAGGGCCCTGATCCGCTTCTTTTCTAACTTATCCCTCAAGTGTGCTACTCTTCGCTCGTTCTAAGAAATTTCATTCCTCACGTTTCTCGCTGGCAAATTCACCCTTAAGCCTAGGCGCACAGACCTACCAGATGGGTGTGATGTTTGGCGCGACTTTTGGAGGTCGCCGATGGAGGTCAACGAGGTCAGAGGAGAACCTGTGAAAGAGAGAGGCAGAGGATGATTCTGGAGATTCCGCACACTGTCCAGCACGCCACTTACACTCCGCAAAAGACTGGCGTGGCATCTCCAAGATGTTGCTGGACGGGGAGTCGGAGTCCGATTCTGAGACCGAGGACGAGGCAGTGTTAGCATCAGAATCAGATGAAGCCAGGTGCGAGTCCTCAGAAAATGGTTGAATCATGTTCATGGTTGCGGGACGGTTGCGTTTTATGCGCAAATCGTATGGCAATGGTTCTGTGGATGGTATCCCCTCGCCTGCGGAGCTGGAACCTGGAAGAAAATTGTTTTGACATTATTAACATTCTTTTAAGAGAAACCATGTAGGCCCTACCTTTGCGGGTATACGATCCAAGCGAACAGTCGTCGCTATTTGAACTTTGGAGCCCTGAAGAGCCCTGATCGTGATTGTCGCCGTCAGTCGCACGTGTCTCTGAAAGGATAAAGAATGCTCGTTAAGAAAGCACCAAATTGATATGTAATTTGTATTTGTAATAGTTTACTTTTTAACCAATTGAAAATCAGAGAAACCATGGAAGCACTTACCGGCCCGAATGCGAACATCGCCTGATCCTGATCCTGTCAACTTGTCGTTTGTCTCTGAAGAATAGTTCTTTTTGAGAGGAGCCCCGTCCGAGTTGATGGTTTCTGCATGCGGAGCGGTGACAAAAGATACATCATTTGGTTACATAACGTGTTAAGTTTGGGTAAATTTTACCCGGGATATTTCCGGTGTAGAATTTACCTGCCATGTCTATCGTGCAATAATGCTTGTGGGTTAATAAATGTTGAATGTGAAAAAAAACGATCGACAGTTTTGACAATTCATATTGTGAGTGTACCCAAACTAGCGCATGGTACATGTGATATATAATGTACGGATCAGGTAGAATTCAGGTTAATGTTTAAGTGCATACAAAAATATTTGGTTTTTAATCAGAATCATAGAGAGTGACCATATTTTCTGGGCTTCCGAATCTGGATCAGATCGAATTAATTTGCCCTCTGGTGGAGAGGAGCCATACTGACTGAGTATAGGGTGGATGGACTTTGGATGCCCCAGATATTTGTCTAGGCGTCCAACAAGTCGAACAGATCGACAGGGCTGTATCGACTCTGATATTGATGTTGATCAAGAAAAACGCTTTCTTCTGGGTGCTGCACACAATCACTTTCACCAGAAATCTATAAGCCGTTTTAAAGATTATTGTGAGAGGAAGCACTTACCCTCGCCACTATCGGGTGATCCAAGCAGAAAGTAGTCGCTGATCCGCTTCTCTGAATAGCGCTGTTCGAGAGTGTCGACAGCTGTGTTGCTTATTTCTGAAGATAGAAGGCGAATAGAATGTTCTTGAAGAAAACATATGTTTGTATATGTATATGTAGAAAGGGTCGTGCAAATGATGCGTAATGTGCAACATTTGGGCATATTATAGAAGAAACGGAGGATGCAGTTACCTTCGCCATTATCGCGTGACCCAAGCAAAAGTCTGCGATCGCCACTGGCTCTGGTGTTTGTCTCTGATGAGCGCTTCTCGGGATTGTCGATGCGAGATTTGCGTGCGATTGTCTCTGAAGGGGGATCGTTGCGATTGCCCTCAGAGTCACGACGTGAGGCCTTGGCTCGATATTGCTCGAGGTGTTCCATGCCGAGCTCGCAATCTGTATCCAAGTCGACAAACTGTTCGTGGTCCTGGTCCTGTCTACGCTTTACGTTTTGTGGCTTCGACTTATTTTCCTTCACTAAAATGCCAGAAATATGTCTTACACGGGTAAATAAATGTTTTTTTTTTGGAGGCGGACTTGTCCGAGCTCAGAGTGATACGTACTGTATTGGTAGTTGGTTTTCGATGATAGATTTATGGGCTTTGCTTGGAAATTCATAATGTAGAGTTTTTTTGGCTTTGCCTGGATGATTGGGAGTCCTTTTTCGGGGCTACTAGGATTGGTATTGATGGGCGCGGGCATCTTTTTCAAATTTTCCTTATTCTTGACCTTTGTCTTGGGCACTGCTCCAGTGGAGCACTTCTTACCAGCATTTTTCAATGGATCCGGAGACTTTCTTCGCTTTTTCTCCAGCTGCAAGTTCATGCTGTCCACCAGGCTGAAGATATCTGTGAAAATCGAGAGGATTAAGTAGGGAGTCGTTATCTGTTTGCGGATTCACGTACATTGGAAACGTTGATGAGGACACAATGCAATCTGGTCGGGGTAGGGAAAGGGCATGTCGTAGCCCGATCCCGATAGCACGGGCTTCGCCTCGAGTTTCGGTGGAGGAGTGCACTTGTCGGGTACGGGCGATACGGTGGACGAGGACCAGCGACTGGAGACGTCAGACGACGAGAACGAGGAGAGGCTGTCGGGTTGGCTCAAGGGATCCAAGTTCTCGGCAAGGGCCATTAGCTCCGGCTCCAGTTCCAAGTCCAATTCCAAGTCCATATCCACTCCCAAGGCCAGGTCCAGTTCATCCCTCTCAGGTCCGACATCCTGCGACAGCCCTTGGCTATCCTCCGGCTCAGCTATAAGCTTTCCCCCAATCAGCTCCCCGCCAATCGGCTTCTCCTCGGGATCGTGATCCGGCGTAGGAGCTTTATCGCGGACAGCGATCGGCTCGGCCTTAGAGCACTGCGGATCGGAGATGGAGTCGTCCTGACCCTGACTGGAACGCCTACAATTCACATACACATTCATCGTTACTGGTTATTGGGTATTGGGAATTGGTTATTGGTTATCGATTTGGGAGGGTCTGCGGACAGGCGCAGTAGCTGTCCGAAGGCGGTTCCCCAGCGACACTCTCGCTTTGTCTCTCTTTGGGTCTTTCTTTCTCCCATTGTTGCTGGTAATTTAATCAAGCACACAACGGGTTGAGAATGAGCGCAACACAAAGGAATGGCAAAAAAAAAAGAAAGACAGGACGATGCAGGGAAACAAAAAGAAAGCGTAGCATTAAATTGGCAGTCGGTGGCTCTGACTTTCATCAAGGTGTAGGGCTCTCCTGTACTCCCTAACCTCTGACGTCTCTGTTTCGCATTCGCTCTGCTTCCAAACTAACCGTAAATTGCGCTCCATTTTTATTTAGTTTTCATTTCCGGCGGCCCAGCCAGCCGATGTCAATTTTCGCCCCGCCATCGCTGACTGAGAAGGGAAGAGGAGATATCGTGAACGAGAAGGGGCAGGGAGAGAACGAAGCAGAAAGAGAAAGAGGGCCTTTGGGGATTTAAGCTTCATATACTTATGTAACTATTCTTCTCGATGAAGAGTTGTATGGTCTGTGATATATGGTTTGGTTTGGCCAGACAGATATTCAAACTAATCGAAAATCCTCCAAATAATAAGAACATAGGAAAGCACACACATACACGGACAGACAGAAGAACTACATGGTATTTTATAGAATCCAAGAATCAGACAATGACACCATAAAAACAGTATAAAAAGATGGCATTATAGAAAGCTTTATAAAGCCCCACCAATGTTGTCGAAAGTGGAGTGTCGTCAGACCTGGATATTGGTGCTGATCATCCAGGGAACGTACGGCTATGGATGATCTGCCTTCTTTAGGTACAATGTACTATGTTTTTCCTCTGGAATAGGGAAAATCCCTATGTGCATTTATCAATGCTTTCCACTTGCTCCGTTTCTGCTGGCTTCTGCTGTTTTTTTTTTTTCGAGTGCAGAACTAGACATTTATCGCCGCTCCCATGTTCACTCGACCCGTGCTCCCTCCGACTAATAACTAACGTGGCTAGCACCGAAACCCCCCTGTCCCTGCCCCGTCCATCCAACAACCTCTTTGGCCACCACCACTGGTGCAACATCAATTCTCCCTAGACACTATCAAGCCCCACCCGACAAAGTTAGTTTACGGCCAAAGTTTAACAAAAAAAAAAAAAGAAAAATAAAACGCTAACGAAAAAAATCCTCGAAAAATTCTACAAAATTGTGTACCGAAAAAAAAAAGATGAAATTTTCGGTCAAAAGCTAGTCGGAATCATGCAGGGAATCATGGGAGAAGAGAAGCTGTACCGAAAAGCGCGAAAAGAGGAACAAGAGAATCATGTAGAGAAATGGGGGATGGGGGGTCCAGGCGAGAAAAAAAATTGGTTTGCAATGCAATTTTTTTGTGGAAGCTTCACACGAAGCTTTTCATTTGGCGCTGGCAGCCATTAGAGGAAAAATCAGCATCCCTACCAACCCAAGGGGAAGGGAAAGTCGGTAGGAGGTGCCCTCTGCCCAGGGGGTGGTGCAGTGCAGTTGTTGCTTCCACACATGTGGAAATTCTGCGCGTTTTGCAGTTTTTTAATTGACCAACAAATTTATTTGATTCGTTAGCAACGCGAATATTTTCTTCCACTGCCCTGACTTTCCCCTACCCCCTAACATCTTTTCTAGAATCATTCACCAGATCCCCCCCCAGCCACTTGCCTACAGCCTCATGACTATATATAACTTTGGAGGTGGACAGTGCGTAGCAGGAGCATAAGTCTGTCAAGGGATATGGTAGGAGATAAGAAGAGTACAAAGAAAGAAAAACCTCTCGAAATTCACAAAAAATCCATTTAAAAATATATTCTTTTAAATTAAATGTGATATTCTATAACTTGAGAGTGCCGATTATTATCTAAGATCTTCCTGTCAGTCTTGGGAATACACATGGATACCTCACACCCTGAAAAAGTTTCAAATTGTGGTTGGGTCGATTTGGATTCTCTTAAATAACTTTATTCTTTATTGCAGGTCTAACCATCTAGCCATCTAACCTTACTAAAATTATAAACTATCGATGGATTTCCTATACCTAAACAATCGTTCCGTTCCCTTTGGTATTTTTGATGCCCTTCCCATTTGCCTTAAAGCCGCGACACGGACTGTCCACCCGGATATGCATATGCGCTGGATGCGGATATGGATGCGGACCTGAGCTTAAAGCCAATGCCCTGATGGCTGATGTAAAATAGCCGAAAATCCGGCACATCGCAGCCCTCATCCTCATCCCATTCATTCAAGGGTAATTGAAATTCAAAGCAAGCAAAGACCAGAGGACACCAGCACGGACAGGGGGGACTTGGAGCCGAAGCCGGAGTTGGGGTCGGATACGGAGTCCGTCTCTTGTTGTTTCTAAGGATTACATATTGGTAAACAACGATTACAACAACGGAGAGGAGAACAAGAACAACCATCGGTTGATGGTAACGACAACTTATTGTGCTACAAATTGGTTTGTTTGTCCTGCCTCCAGACCTGAGACCCGAGACCCCATCACCAGATCCTTTGGGGTTGGTCTTGCTGAGGGCGAGCTGTTTGATTTGATTGTTGACTTTATTGGTCAGCGCGGCCTTTTGTGTGTTGTTCTTTGGCCCCAGCCCCAGCCCCAGCCCCCGCTGCAACTCCAGCACCATCTTCTGCCTCTGCTGTTGTTTTAACGATATTTAATCTATGATTAAAATCAATTAAATGCTACACTTGACTTAATTTATTGTCGCGCACACTGACCGCTCCATGGAGCTCCATGAAGTTCCATGTTGATAGGATCAGGGCGGAACACACTAGCGGCGGGCAGACACAAGACAAGTAGCTGCTGCGAATACGTATCCGAAATAACCGATGCAAAATTATATCGCCCGGGCTGGATCGTAAAAATCAAATTGGTGGCTCCGTCCCCATCACAATCCCCGTCTCGGTGCCTGTGCCGGTCCCCGTTTCGAGCGAAGTCGAATGCCAATAAAAATCTGGCAGCAAAAATCTACGAAAAAGTCGGAAACACTTTGTCGGTGGCGTGGCTGGGGCTTGTTCGGCTTGGTCGGTGCCTGTGGACGGGGGGCTTGTGGCCCTATCTTTATGGCTCGATCTGGTTTCTGTTCTCTCCGACAGCAATGCAGATAATTGTCCACCTCAAACGTTCACGGGGGTCGCAACGGGAACCAAAGCCGAAACAAGCCAAAGACCATCGAGAACATCGATTGTTTCGACTAAAAGATGACGTTTATTTCTGACCGATACAATACAAATTTCATCCAACAAGTACATTAAAGTGTTTTTGTTTTTCTTGCTGCTCGCTGTTTTTTCATGTAATGGACAATTATGAAGGCCGACGGGATGAAATCCGACCCAGCACCTCAAATTTCCAGCGAACCACATTAAGTGCCCTCACCTTTGCTTGCGCAATCCGTTTTAGATATTTGGGATTTAACTTATTGACAAGGGCTTGGGTCCTTATCGCTGACATGCGGACCGACGGATTGGCGGTGAAGCAGGACATTGCGTTCTCCAGCATCTTGTGTATCATGGCCTGCAACCAGCCAAAGCTCACGAACTGATTCCCTACCAACAACATCTGCAATATGTCCCAATCAAGAGGGTCATCGCTGTGATCATATTGCGGATTTTCGGCGTATCTCACCCACACTCTCGAATCGTTGAATGCCCAACAGACCCGCTGACGACGTCTGTGACGCAGAAACTGAAGCAATCTCAGGCCATACGAACGCTCGATCTAGTAGTCGACAAGAGTGCCGTCATATATAATCTTCCCTGCATTATTGTACGACCTTGGGAAATCCTTATGTTCGTTGAAAAGAAACCTTTTGACCCTGGCGAATTTAGGTCGTCCTCGAGGGCGGCCACGACCACGACGGAGAGCCGGAAGTTGAAGGAGGACCGGAGCTTTGATCACCGGCAAGTGAACGAACTTTGAGCTCTGGCGAGCCCTGAACCTTATTTTCGGGGCCTCCACAACCTCGGTCTGAATTTCCCCTTGGAGCTTCGCCATACGGGCACAGAGGAGGTCGCACAGTGCTAGGGCATCGTTGAAGACGGGTGATTCAGGACTGTTGAAGCTCCTGCAATTGCTGAATATCAGTAAAATATCCTCTAGAGCCTCCGCGGCCCTGAAGTAATAGCAATTCTCCAGCCTCTTCTTGACGGTGTATAAGTCCATCGGACGAGTGATCAGATTGTGATAGTTAAACACGTGAAGCTTCACGGCGTTCACGGCATGGCGGAATTGGTAAGAGGACTTTGAGCGTATCATCACATCCAGCACGGTCCTGAATTTCTTCGTCAGATTGGTGGTCCTTCCCTTCCGGTTGGGCGGCGGCATCACCATCGGCTGTACGATCCCATTCACCGGCGCGATCTTGGGCTCTTGCCGGGGCGGAATAGGCACGTCACATCCAAGGCTTTCGAGCCGGGCTAGACAGCCCTTAAGGCTCGAGCTCTGCGCATCATTCATTTTCTGCAAACGACGTGGGAAGAGTGGAAATGTTTGCTTAGTTTTATGCCGAGAAAATCGTGCCATGTCCACCAGATACATTTATGGACGGACAGTCACTTCTCATTTACATATTTCACCATTTTGTATCGATCAAAAAAAGCAACCGTAGCCTTCTTCGTCGAAATAAATAAACCAATTCGAATGATGAAAGTTTTTTCAAAGGCCCCTTGGGTTCATAGTTCTGGGTATACCCCTTGGATTTTGCAAGCGCAGGGTATAAAAAATAATTTTAAAAAACCAAAACAAACCGTTAATACTCTTTAATATTTTTTTTTTAACAGCGAATAGAATTTCCATCACGGGCACATCGTTACTTGGAATATTCATCGATGGCTTTACAATTGTTTCAATGGAAATGCATATAATCGTTCCAATAATATAATCGGTAAAAATACTAGATATGCAGTTGGAAGGCAACTAAATGTGCTGACATTCAAATGGCATACAAACGAATATTCCAGATTTATTAGAATCACAAAAGGTTCAGCAAAAAGTCATCGTACTCTGGGGAGGGTATGGATATCCATTTAATCAGGCACTTAATCGTTTTTGGGGACGGGCTGGCACTGGAGCTGAATGGAATTTTTAGCGATTTTTGCTGACATACGAGAGAAATATACGCGGCTCAAATCCAATGAACCCTGGTCTCCAGCCTTGAAGCACGATTTGGAGAGCTTTGGAGAGCGACGGAGTACCAGATCGATTGAGCCTGGAAATACCGTTGGAAAAAGGGGAAAATGCAACCATCAATCGAAATCAGTCCCCAAGAAACCTAAGCCAGAAATCTACCTGCACTGGGACTGGGAGTGGGAGCGAACTCAATCAAACGAATGCCATGCAAATGAGTGGGACAAAAAGTGGTGGATAGTATGGGTATGTGGATGGAGGTGTGGTGGCGCATCAAAAATTCCGTTTAATGATGCAATTGGAATTTGATGAGTTGGAAAACTGGGGCCGAACCGAACGGCCAACGTAACTGACATCGCTGATGAAACGCAATCAATGCAGAGACACTTTGCCTGTCAGAATGAGGATGGGGCGACTGCCAGTGGCAGTGTCCTGGCTGGCCTACAGTGCCCGGCAGGTAAATTGCAACCAATAATAATGAATAATTGAAAATCCAATCAAACACCAAATGAAAACGGAGGCACACGGCCAGCAGCATCAGCATCAGCATCAGCATTGCCCATATCCATATCCATATCCATTGCCCATATCCTATACCCATCCAAAAACACACACTCGTACAATGTACGTTTGTATCTGTGGGTGTGTGTATGTGTGTGTGTATCCTTGGCGGCTGGGCGGCTGGGTGGCTGGGTGGCTGGGCGGCTGGGCGGCTGGTGTTGATTTTGCCGGCTTTATCGAAGGACATTAGCAAACGGTCGTTGGGTTTGGCTGCAAATGCAATCAAAAGCGTGGGCCTCTCTTCCAAACGCAGACAAACACAGGAACAGGAAGGATAAACCAGAGCAACCTGCATAGATGACACCCCAGGGACATGGCAAAAGTCAATGAATGGTAATAGGTGTCGACATGGCATTCTCTCCACCTATCCCCATCGCCCCAACCCAAACCCCAACCCCCACCCCCTTGCCTCGTCCTTGTCCTTGTCCTCTTGCCGAAATGGAGGCATGGCATGTGGCAACATGTTGTCGCTGATGCTGCTGCTGTGGCGGCTTTATTGGTGTTGTTTTTGCTGATTGCCACTTTCGGCAATGGATCGAATGGCTGGACTGGGCTCCGAACGGGCTTTTGGATGGGCTCTCGCTGGCCTCTGGATGGGGAAGCATGCATTAATTGCCAGTTAAATTGAGTTTGACTAGCACTTGCCGTGGCACTCGTGCTTTGGGACTGGGCAATGCGGCAATCTGATCTGATCTGATTGGATCTACTACTGATTTCATCTGATTCTGATCTGAACTGAATTGCATTGGTTTTTCCACCTCCCTCTCCCACAATTTTCCAGCATGTTTGTGTCCATAATTTGATTTTTTCATAATTTTCCGTGCTCTCCAAACAAATAAACAAGGTTGCATATTGAAAGAGCCTCAGGCGGCAGGCCTCCGCATATCTCCATGGCTGCCCTCGCTCGTTCGATGGCATGCGATGGCGTGTCGCCCCTAGGCGTGGCACAAGACAAAAGTTTATCGCCATATCCCGTGTACATGGTACATATGTATATATTTTTGATAGATGTAATTACAAGCAAATACGCCGCTAACGTTGAAATTTGCCTCAAATTGAGTTTCGGTTTGGTTGTGGTTTCGGATCGGGGTTGAGATGAGATGAGAGGAGTCTCAGTTTTGGCTCTGCCTCGGTCCGTCGAATGTTGTTCAATTAACGTGTCTCAGTTGTTTGTGTTTTGGTTTGTCTGTCGGGGGAACTCATTCCCTCCCTCACTTCATCCAATCATCGCACTCGCACCCACTCATCGACAGACACATCGCGGCAGCAAAATGACAACCGCGAGCGTTTTCCGCGCACTGCAGCTGGATGAATGGGGATGTGGATGTGGATGTGGATGTGGATGTGGATGCGGCTTTGGCTGTGGTTGGGGCATCAACATGTTGCACAAATATAAACATAAATCAATTAACATTTTTCAACGAGGCAGCCAGCCAGCTTGGCCAGCACCAGAGCCACGACCAGGAGCAGGTCCGAGAACGAGGCTGGGCTCTGGAGCTGAAAATGAAACCGAAACTGGCAGCGGAAGTCGAATTTTTGGCCATTCGCCTGCGGCGCAAAATTTCAGAATCGACAATTTGCAACAGCTGTCTTCGTGGGTGTCGGCGTCGCCCTCCCTGTAAGTGTGTGTGTCCCATTCGTGTGTGTGTGCGTATGATGCCTACTTTCGGGTGCATCTGCCACATGATGAAAGGCAAGGATGGAAGGGCGTAAACCGATCAAAGATGTCGCAATTGAATTTGAATTTTGCTGATTTCCGCAAGCAATCAAATATAAGATACTTACACTAAAACGACTAAGCAAAATGGAACTAGCGCATATTCCCCAAAACTGACGCCATCATCGTCAGACAACACCTCTACCAATAACTCTTCAGTTAACTGCTGTTTTAAGAGCGTTTCCATCGCGATTTGTGTAACTTACATTTGAATAGAAATTCGTCAGAATATGACACAAGTATTTCCACCCACCATAAACGATTTACGTGCACACCAATTATCGATAGTTTCCTTTGTGTTATCTCAGATTTACCCAGCCAAAGCTCCTTTCATCCTGCTGCCTGCCCGGGAGCAATGGCAACCCAACTATTATATCCAAAGCAGAACCCAGAAAAGAGAAAATTATAATGACAAAAGAGAGAGAGGTTGGATGCGTAGATGGCGGCGACACAGATAAGGATGAGGTTGGGGACAGGAGCGGGACCAGTGCCGGAGACAATCGGACGACATGGCACACATGCCGACAATGGCAAGCCCTTGGCGAAATGGTAACTCGAACCAAGCCAAGCCAAAACAGAACTGAGCCGAACCGAACCGAACCGAAAACGAAAACCGAAAACCGAAAAACTTGTTCCATAAATTTTCTATTCAAAATGTAATTAAACCCTTGTGCTGTTGCCCGCCTCAGCTGCTCATCTAATTACAACAAAAAGGCATCCTCCAGCACTCCAAGCCCACTCCGGTCCACATTTCAAATGATTGCGGGGCCTGGGGAACGGGACGAACACGAACCCAGGGACGGACGGATGCGCAGCAATATACTCGATAATTGCAAACGAAATGGTAAAAGGCACTGGCAAAAAACCCAACACAACAAAGCAACTTCAAATGCGGTCCGCACAGAGGCCCGTAGACCAAGCCGGAGCCGGAGACCGAGCCGGATTCTTGGTACGGACTCGTCTATTTCCATAAATATCTTCAAAGTCATTAAATTTCACACATGTTGGCGGTACGCAGAATTGTTTTAATTTTAAAATTATTGTCATTAATTGATTTTTGATACAGCCGGGCTCCGGCCGGAGAACGGGTCGTCCCATAAATCTCCATGTGTGTAAATCTCCTTGGGAAGGGCGTGCCCGAATTGGGGGATGCAGCACCATTCTCCACCTTATCCTCCTCCTGGACTTACCATCTTTTGCAACAGTTGTGTTAGTGCCAGGAGAGACCAGCAGCAGCATCAGGAATCAGTAGTCAGGAACCCCGAAGGGAACCAGCCGCAGAAAATAATTAGTGACTACGAAAAAAATAAAAAGCCAAACCATAGGCAAACACCAAAAAGGGGTAGAAGTGTGGTGCCAGTGCGGAAGGGGTGGTGGAGGGGGCGGAAGCTTTTACGGCATTCACTTGATTATTGAGACCATTATTTTTGTTTAATTACGTTACGGGCGTTAATGTGCGGAGAGCACCAGCTCTCATCGTTATGCGACCTCCCACTTCCACTCCCACTCCCGGTTACCGATTCCCGACCCGGAACTTCAAGCCGATTTCCGTTCTCCGTTGGTGAACGTTCGCCGTGGCCAAATTTTCCAAGATGGAGAATCAACGACCATTCGGATTCGATACATCGAAAGTTTGTGAAGCATGCAACGAAATGTGTTAGATCGGAAATCAGTATGAATTCAATCGAAAACTACAACACTTGTATATACTCCGGAAAATCGGAACTACTTCGATTACTTTAAACAGCGAATGCACACCTCAAAGCACACACTGTCACTGCTCCAAACCAACGAAATGTACATAATTTAAGCCCCAAAAGTCAACTATAGTCAACATATAGACCATATAAACCGGCACTATTTTAGAAGTAAGCCAATGCAATCTGCTACTATCCGAGGGCTGTGGCTGGGGAGAGCCTGATCCTGAATTGCCTGCCCAACTTAGATACGTACGGACCTCTACGTAATCCTGTGAAAAGTAGGCGAACGCGGCGCCCGGTACTTGGCGCTTGGCGGACAAATTTGTGACACGTTTCCGACACGTTTGCCATGTCGATTTTTCTTGAGCAAAGCGTTTCTCATATATATTTTATAACTGTAGACGTCGACGATACATATCAAGTGGG